CTAGTTGTGAATACTGTCTCACTGCAGAGTGATAAACTTTAAATAGTTTGAAAATGGTCTGATTAGCCCATTCCTGATTGATGGGCAACAACAATGACTTCTCTAAGATCACTGCTGATGGTTTTCCTCCTTGGCATTGAGTTCACGCACACCCGACTGCTCCAGAGGTGCAAAAACATCTGCTTTCTATTCTATTTGTGTAGCACAAAATTGCAACGGTCACTTAGAAGCACTTTATATTGCAAGGAAAAGAGCCGACAACAATGCAGAGAAAACCCCAACAATCAGACCTATAAGCGAGTAAAGTAAACTAAAGTAAAGTCTTATTTATAGCTCCTTTCAAGACAAAGATCCCAAAGTGCTTCACAACAAACTACCAGAGCATAAAAACAGAAAAAAGAGCCGACTGAATGCAAGTCTACAAAGTTGAGTTTTTAGAAGTTTCTTGAAAGAAACTACTGAGTGCACAGATCTCAAGCTCAGAGGGAGAGAGTTCCAGAGTTTGGAGGCCACTGTGACAAAAGCTCTGTCACATTTAGTTTTCAGCCTTGTATGATGTACAACAAGTCGGCCCTGATCACATGGCCTCGCAGACCTGCTCGGGACGTATGGCAGTCCACTGATGTAAGCTGGTGCTTGTCCATGAAGAGCTCTGCAGATGTTCTAGGCAGTTTTTTCTTAGACAAGTGAACAGTGAGTTACAGTAATGCAACATGATTAAATAAACACATGAATAATAATCTCCAGTTCAGAGCGTGACACTATGGTACTTCGTTTGGAAAAATGTTTTAAGTGAACAAGAGTGAACCTGAGATTTGACGGGAACATCGAGAGTGAAAGCAGATTTAAAATTACCCCAAGGCGCCTGAGAGACAATTTAGCAGTTGTTGCAGGGGGACCATAACTCTGTCAGGGGCTCAAACCAGGACTTCCTTTTTATAACATTTTTTCATTAAGTTGGAGAAAGTTGTGAACTATCCAACTTTTAACAGTGTTTAAATCCTGTTCAGGACTGCAGCTTAGGAACATCTGTGGGTTTAAAAGAGATATACCGAATGTCAACTGAGTGGCAGTGATAGCAGTTGTCCTTAAAGGTGCTCAAAACGTGCTGAAGAGGGAGGAGATATGACAGAAACAATAACTAATACCTAGAATAGAAATTTTCTCAAATTTCGTGACAGAAAATGGGAAAAAGTTGCAGTGATTTTTTTTTTAAATATGTGAAAACATGCATGCCAGTAGATGACATTAGGCATAAACACCGTTTGTATAATTCTAATGTAGATAAAGGTCAGCATTCTCCATCTTTAGTCCTCAATAAAGTAAGAAGTGTCTCAGACAAGGATTCTCATCATTTCTTTAAGTAATCTTCAAGAATAGTTTCTTGAAAAGTTCCTTGAAGACATTCGTGGCTCTTATTTGAATGTTGGTTTCCTTTTTATCTTATCTCTGTCAAGATGATTCCACACTGCTTCAGTAATGTTGATGTCCAGGATCTGGGGACTGTCAGTGCTCCATTGCATGCTTTTCCATCCTGGTAGGCTTTTGGTTTTGTTGCACTGGCAGTGTGTTTGGAATCACTGAAAAATAATGTACTTAGTTAACATAAATTCACAACTTAAAAAGGCAAAACATTCAATTCCAAAACAATTCATTTTAACAAAATGTGCAATACAAAAGTCCAATCAGATAAACAAGGGGAAAAATAAACCAGAGAAGCCAGAAGATAATAAGAGGAAGTATTTGGGTGCAGGTGGCAGACAGATACATAAGCACTAATAGAGATAATAGGAAACAGGTCAATTAAGATAAAAGCAAGGCTGGGAAAAGAAACAAAGGAGGAAGGTTAAAACGCAGAAATGCACATTAAAAAATACAACAGGAAGTAACCTTAAACAGGCACAAAAGTCAACAGAATCAAGCAAACAGCAGATGGTAAAAAAAGAGACACAAAAACATCGGAAGAAAAGGCCAAGATTAAAAAAAAGAATTACAACTGAAATCATTTCTCAAAATATTTTATTTCTCTATTTAAAAAATAATAACATCAAATCTATCATTTTTGTGATGTAGGCTTCCTCTAAAACTTCTAGTGTTTTTAACACCCAGTTGTCCTTTTGTAGTTTTTTTGAAAGGCTGAACTGAAGACATGAAATGTGAAGCAGGACACGACGTTTCAGCTCATGGAATAAACCTGCTTACCTCCACACACAGATTTATGTCATCAGCTGTCGGGTGAAATGGCTTTGTTCCAGGCACAATTGGAAAAATCTTTATTATTGGCTCTTGTGCCCATTTTTACTAAAGTGTTTCATTTCCATTTCTTAGTCTACAGGTTCAAGAACGTCCACATCCATCTGTTATTGAACACGGCCTGCATTCTTAATGGCCAGGCAGTATTGAGCATTAGGCGTTGAGCTACAAAAAGAACAGCAACGCGGGGGAAGACAGAAGTTTTGACATTTAAAAAGCTAATTTTTCACCCTCCTGACAACCAAGTCTTTTGTTTGGAATACATTTTACATTTAATTTCTCCTAGTTATTTGAGAAAAACTTGGCCTGATTAGTTCTATTATTGTTCTATTATTCTATTATTGTTGTTATTTATTTATTTTCTTTTTATATGGAGACAGGAGGTCTCTATATTTAAGTAAACCATAAAACTGACTGTTTAAAAGTATGAAAGGTAATTAAAGGTAAAAAACTCCAGCTGCTACTTCCCATGTTGTATACAAGAAACTGCTGGTTTGTCTCAATATTTGAATTTCAACTTTAGACCCGGTCAGCTGGTTGCATTAGCTTGCTTTGGTGTGTTGCAGCTTAACGTGTTCAAAAGTTCAAAATAAACTTCCAGGTTTACCAGGTTGAATTTACCTGCCATAATTTGGTAGGAAAACTTGCTCGTGACTCATTGCGTTTCCATGTTTTCTGTTTGTGTTCTTAGAAGATGATTGCAATAATTGGGTGAATGATAAAACAATAAAACAACCTACACAGAAGACGTTCAGGTATCTCTGACTCGTGGCAGAACCAAGCTCCACAGATCGAATCACTGCAGCAGAGTCGCAGGATCTCATTCATTCTGGAAACAAAGCCGCCCTCTTTTGTTGTTCTAAGTGGCTAAAAGCCTTTTACAAAGCACAGTGGCTGCAGGTGCACATGACTACTGCTCACACATGACCAGGATGTAAACATGGAATTTTAGCTCGTAGCAGTGAATCACTACAAACAAGCCTTTTGTAATGGTTCAGTCACGCATTTGTAATGAAAAGCCATCAAGGATTAAATGAAGCATATTAGAAGGACACATGCTAGGACAGTAACACAGATTCACAATGAAAGATGAACAGAAACGAGGGGAAAGAAAGGAGGTGAGGAAGACTCGCCATAGGTGCAACTGTGGAGAGAAAATTATTTGTGAGGAAAGATGTTTGTGCAGCATCCCAAGTAATATATAAAAGTGACTCGTAAGAACGTTTAAAAAAAAAAAGGCAGCAGCTTAAATAGAAAGGTGATATTTATTGTACCCGACCTTCTTTATAAATTGCAGTTTTACTTTCAAGACTATCTTCCTGAATAAAAAAAAATTCCAATGTAAAATGTGCCTCCTTACGGGAATCAGTAACATCCTTGGGAGTTACTCTAAAGTAAGCCTCAGTTTAATATAAAATATTGGTGCATCTTTTCAGAAACAGTTCTCGCTTTATTACAGCTGAAGGTCTTTATTGCTCTTTAAAAGGTAACATTGATCAGCCACAATACTCAAACCAGTGGAAGGTAAACCACATAAAAGTGATTTAAGGAAAACCTTGGGTCTTGGTGTTCATGTGTCACCAGCCACAATAACAGCACTCCCCAGTGATAGTTAGAAAGATGATACCCATCCCAGGATTCAGGGATATACCAAGGCAGAGAGACAGACAGCATTTCATTTTACATCCTGAAGGATCCGAGTGTCCTGTCATTGCAGTTCTTGAAATTACTGTAATTACAAGCCACAACAGGGCTGTGGATAGCTGGAGACTATAGGTATTATGTCCATTATTCTTGGTCATTTGGTTGAATTCACACCTGCTGTGAAATCAATGACACAATCAAAGTGCAGCGCTGCTCTTAGTCCACCCAATTGATCCAAGCTACTGGGAAAAATATCCTGTGGTTTTCTTGTGTCAAAGACATACTCAGGTTTGTAAAAAAAAAAAAAAAACTGGATGGACAGGCGCTATCAAAATGTAACATAGTTAAGTTTGTAGCTGCTAAATGCTTCAGAACATGCAACTACAGAACATACTGTAACATGGTTTTTAGAGCTATTTGCTGAAAAAGTGTGACAACATAGAGTGGAAAATGACTAGAAAGTGGACGAAGAACTATGAGCTGAATGGTTTTAGGACAGATTTGGGATGAAATGTGCAGCAGGATAATAATTATCTCTGGATTCATCACAGTGAAAAACACTTTCTTATATCAGTTGTAACTACTGCAGAGACAAATATAAAATAAGGTTGACATTTCTCTGTCTTTGTAGAGTGTGATTTTTTAAGACAAATACACACACACACACACACACACACACACACACACACACACACACACACACACACACACA